CGGGGTCCCTCATGGACCGGGTTCCCAGCAAAGGCTCGGCCCAGCAGACAACGTTGCGAACGACGCGCAACTCTTGGCCGGCCCAAACACCTAAATGACAGGCCAAAAGGACAATCCAATCTCTGACCGGAAGGCCTGGCCGAGGAGGAACGGCGCCCGCTTCTGACTCTGGCCCGCCTCTCCGACCGGAAGGCCTCACGAAGGAGAAACAACACTCACTTCCAACACCAGCCCACTTTTGGACGGCCTCTCTGACCGGAAGGCTTGGCCAAATACCACTTTCTAACTCCGACCCATATCTCCGACCAGGGATGCGCCGAACCTCTGCTTACATCTCCTCTTCGACTAGCGTAGTCAGAGGCGACTAGAAACCAACCGACCGGGGACGCCCGCTCGCTAAGGACCAGGAAACGGACAGAGAAAGTAAGACAGGGCACTCAAGTCAACCGCAATACCGAGGACCGTACCCTGTACACCAGTACCCTGCGACCTTCCTGGCATGACAGAACCCAAGCAGTGTTGTAGGCACCGACATTTTCCCCTAGAGTGTTGTGGGTGCCATCAACTCCCATACCAGACAAATACGGTAAGGCTCCAAATATTTACATGTTGGTCACTTTCTGCACCGACAATATGCAACATCTATATAAAACACTTACAACTTGCAACATGAAAACACTTAATGTAATATAAGACTGAAACAGTTGAAACCATTGGAGCATACTCTTGCAACATGTGTGAAACATATGCAACATCCGAATCAAAACCGCTTGCAAAACATACGTCTAAAAACAGATAAAACATTTTGAACAAACTCTTACAACATCCACATGAAACACTTTCAACATACCTCTAAAAGGAAAAAGTCTACATAACCCCCAACTATTAAGGGTGGACTACTTCACCCCCGAAACTATAAAACCGGATTTTCTACCCTCTGAACTTTTCAAAACCGGTCAAATAACCCTCCAAGCGGTTTTGGACGGTGGTTTTGCTACAGTAATGGTGGTTTTGTCTTTTTCTTTTTTATTTATTTCCGCTGAATCTTTAAAAAATTATAGTAAATCACAGAAAAATCATAAAATAGAAAATCCAATTTTGTTGGACTTCACATGAGTAGATCTACACAGTGAACATATAATATGGTATGCCTTAGTACAAAGTTTTTGCTGTAACTTTAGATCTATGCTTTTTTGTAATTAATTGAAATAATTCATAGCTGCAGCTTCTATGGTCCAATTGTGTTGAAATTTTTATGGTGGGCTAATTATTGTATGCTCGAACTATAGTAAAAATTTCATACTCATTGGATCATGTATAACTTAGTTATAGATAAAGTATAGATTTAACAAGTATAAACCTAAATAAATCTATAACTTGTGCGCCCTACCTTAGTTTCTCCGTTCGTTCCCTAGTCCTTACCGAGTGGGTGTCCCCGGTCGGTTAGTCCCAATCGACTCTGAATGCGTCAGTTGGAGAAAAGCAGTGAGCAGGGGTTTGGTGCATCCCTAGTCGGAGTCGGAAGTAGTGTTTTGGCTAGGCCTTTCAGTCGGAGAGGCCGTCCGGAGGCGGGCTGGAGACCGAAGTGAGTGCTCTGATCGGAGAGGTGGGCGGAGTCAGAAACGGACGTCGTTCCTCTTCGGACAGACCTTCCGGTCGGTGATTGGATCGCCCTTCTGGCCTGTCGGTAATTGAGCCGGCCCATAAGTTGTGTGTTTGTTTGCAACGTTGTCCGCTGAGCCGAGCCTTTATTGAAAAGCTGATCCGTGAGGGATCCCGGGTTTATGAAACCGACGGTCGCTATCTTGCAGATTTCAGATATGCATGTGTTGGCTATTCAATGTACTTAGATGACAAGGAAACTCCTACGGGGATGCGAGATAAGGCACGTGCGCAGCTACCTGTTTGTGCTGGAGTCGAGGTAATATCTGCTTGACCATGTAATTCCTATGCATTTATGATGCATTCACAAGTCAGGACCATGTCAGAGTGACATGATGGATAAGGAAGCAGTTAGGCACAATGGTAGATGATTGTCACCTTGTTCACTTGTTAGTTTTAGCCAGGCTTATTTAACTAGTCAACAGTATTTTCCTCTCACAAAAAACTAGCATCAGCCAACCCAAACCAGCACCAGCACTAACCAGCGAATAGGGTCTGATGAGAAAATTGAGCTTTAGTTATGTTGACTGTCAGAATGGTGGGATGAATATTCATGTCAATTTGTTATCTTCATAGATTATATGTTTATTACAATAATCATGCAAGCTTTTCTTTTCTCGACCACAGTACAAATAAATGCGGTCATTCTATTCTGAAATTTGTTCTTGATTTTCCTCCAGATTTATTCTGCACTGACTGTTCAACCTGCTCAGCTATTGTTTTGTAGCTATAAGTTAAACTATGTCTTATGATCATTCACATGTGACATGTCTATTTTGCTAACAAAGAATATCTTTCCCCCTTTTCTAGCTATTGGCAGATAGAAAAGTCCCAACAAATGTTAAGAAAGAAGGTAAGAAAACATTTTCTTCTGTTATTTGATTAGTGTGTGTGCTAGGCCGCTAGCAACTGCAAAGCTAACACAATATTCTCGAAAAGTTCAAATGTTTGGTCATGGACAGAAGTGCTTAATGTGTCACACTTGCTTATTCAAATATATCAATCTACCGTCGTGTGCATTTTACCTGAAATACACTGTCAATGCTATTCGATTTTTAGTTAGAATGGCATCCTGATTTATGATGCATTTGCAGTAGGTATGAAACCTTAAGAGATCAGCCACTAAACTGTAAAATATATACAGAATGTTGCCTTCTTGAAAATCGTTGTTATTTTTATTGCACCTGCGTGGAGAAATCACCAAATATTTTCACGAAAAATAGAATTTATCCAATAGTCAACTAATACATGGAAAAATGTGTCCTGATACACAAAATAAAAATTGCAACTTGATCAGTTCTTAGTAGTATTCGATTAGTTCTTAGTAGTCTCTAAACTTAATTCCTCATAATGTTTTTGCCACTATACCCATTGCCAGTTTTTATGGGCTTATTTTCTGTGCAATCTAGGATTAGAGAAACTTGGTCCTAAAACTATACGCTTCATTGGTGAAACTGTGAAAAATATCTGATTACCAAGTATCTTGTCTATGTCTCCTGTCCGCTTTAAGCATTACTTTTGCTGTTTTGCGTGTTTGAAACATGCTTCTTTCTTGCATTATTTTGTAATTATCTGCCTGCAGGATTCACATTGTTTCTGTTCTCAAAACTTCTACTCATCTTTATAATTCCGCAGCTCCAAAACCACGTCATTACAAACCAGGGCAACCAGGGCATGCAGGAGATGATTTCTTAACTAAGTGAGTTGGTATTTTGGTTTATATATGAATTTGTAAGTTCTGAAATTCGTATTAGCATTTCAACAACTTTGTCTTTGAACCTGCAGATTTCAGAGGAATGCAGGGCTTGTGGCGAATGGTGTGGCTAAGAACCTGAATAAAGTTGGGACCTACATCAAAGACACCGTGGGTGATATGATACAGCCTTACCGCAAGCGTCCCAAATAAACCATAGACCTGTCTCACCCTAAAGACCTAAATCCTGTATGGGAGTAAACATTAGATGACCGGGGAACGTCGGATCAATCACTTCCCCCGTACACCCGGCACAGCAGTAGCTTTCTGTTGGTTTCTGAAGCTCTAGAAAATTGAGAGAATTATTGTTAGGAAAATTGCCAATTGGAGCATGTTATCCACTAGCTGTTGGGGCTTTGATTTCACGTTTTCTCGTAGCCCCACTGCCTCGCCCCATTTGGGAGCGATTGTTGTTTCACTAGGTCCCTCCTCCAGTAATGTACAGGATGTCATGTAATAAGACATTAAAACAGCCCCGTCCCGCCCCTCTTGAGAATAATAGCGTAGTGCCAGTGAGGGTTCCAGTGATGTATTTTCTTGGAGCATTGCAGTATACGGGTACGTAGAGGATGTTCGAACTGGCTCGTATTCCGTTATTTCTCTGAACTCTTCATCAGATGATAATGGACCTTGACCTTCTGGCGTGCTTGTTTATTTATATATATTATTTTGTGCCTTTGCATTTTGCTACGCTGATTGTATGTTGTACTACTTGCACGCATGCATGTGCAAATTGTTCCTGGTCATACCAAGACCAAATTAGCTCTGAATAGAAACATGCAAAGCTACTCAAAGTCAGCTCATACATAATAAAAAGAGTCCACTGTCGTTAGTTTGCACATTGCGCTTCTGCTGTCTATATTCTCTCATAAATCTCAGCAACGCCAATACACCATGACGGAATGACCACCAACAAAGCGACCCAACCCTTGGGGTGCATCATCAATTCATCCATAGATGCAAAAATAATACATAGATCTCTTCCTCTTCCTTCCCCCCTGACACTAATCATGGAGACCACCTACATGACTAACATAAATTTTTACCTCAAATCAGGAAAGAAACTTTATTATGATCCACATTGGATATACAACCTCATATATTGGTTCTGAACCACCTAATTATTTGAGATCCTCACCTCAAAACTTTAGTCATTACCGATCTACGGTCCAAAGAGTGAAAGCACATTAAAAGAAAAATAAAGGCACGTGTGCCATTTTAAATATCCAATAGAGTTTCAATAACTGGTTTCCAGTTTATATTATATACGCAATTGTACACGTAACAAATAATAATAAAGTTACATTTACTTATAAAAATTCTAACCCCATGGGGGTCTGACTTGTTCTTGTTCGCATCTTTCACGCTCGCTCCATCGTGGCCGTACACCCAGGCGTCCGTGCGCGTGGGTACCTCCTCACCCCTTCACCTCGCCGCCTGCCTTCGCCACCGTCCGTCTTCTCCGTCAGTCGGCCGCGACCGCCCACACGCTCGCCGATACCCACGGGCTCTCTGAAAGATTACATTTCTTGTCTAGCTATCAATTTAGCCCACGAAAGCTGCCACAGCCGGCCCAGCCCACGGTATGACCCTAGCCCCTTGCCGCGTCCACATCCCAGACGGCCACCGCACACCGCACGCCGCCGCTGCTCGCGCCTCTCCCGCTCTCCTCTCCCGACAACAGCTCCGCTGCCGCACCCGCACGGATCCTGCGTCTGCATCCATCCACCTCCGGCTCTCTGAAGGTGAGCCCAAACCCCCAGTCACAGTTCACATGGTTTGAATTCGGTAGCAGTGAATCAGGAGGTCTCGAGCTCTGTTTGGTGGGAAGGGCCACATGTTCTAGACGCGAATTTGCTCCGTGCCCATGGTCAGGACTAGGCGCATATCTGGCACTGTATTGTCTTGCTCTTTTGAACTGATGACAAGGTGAAGTTTAGCATTTTACGGGGCCCGTTTAGCATTTTTTTTTGGGTGAAAACACTTTGGCATTGGTTTCTCTCTTGGTTATTAGTACTGCGATGCGAGCTTGCACATTTGAATTAGTTATGATCGCCTATGCATTCCACCACTTTTTCTGTTTTTAACAATTAGTTTCTAAATGCTCGCCTGTTGGTTAAGTAGATGTTTCCTGTAAATGGTGCCTGCATTTGAGTTTCCTACCATGTTGTTCGCACTCCAGAGATTTTATTTACTGTGCAGAAGAGAGTTCTGTTCTCAGCCATTTCATTCTTTTATAATAAAAGATTTATCAGTAGTTTCAGATAGCTGTGATGTCAAGTGTTACCAATACCAACCAAGCGTAACACAGTAGAATTTTCAAGTTTTCCACAGGATTGCAAATCGCAGTCTTATTTTTGTTGTTTATTTTGTTTTGGAAAATATAATCTTTAAGACACATTAGTGTTGGGTATTTTTAATCCCCCCTCCCAATTGAGTAGCTGATATTTTATTGCACGCTCTGAACTTCATGATGTCTTGCTGATTGTGCTCATTGGCTGGACTTGTTTGCGTAATGTTTCATTCATCTTATCATCATGCAGTGTTGTTGAGATAGACTGAGACTTCTTTCTTTGGGTTCTTGATCTCCTGACATGTTAAGCTGTATAGTAGGATCATGTTATTTTGCTCATCTGCAATCATATCGAACTACTAATTGTTGTCATGGTCCTGCTACACCTGTCATGTTAGCTCTGAACTATCCATTATCTAGTTTGGATGACCAATCTGATGCACTTTTCGAGAGAAACTACTCACGTGACACGTTGGTATCTCTGCTAGGCACCATGTCGACCAAGTACAAGAAAAAGGAGCTCAAAGTTAATGACAACATCGTTGCAACGGTACTCCAAGGAACTCAGGGATGTGCAAACTTGGTGGCAATACACAATTTGGTCGCCATCAGATATAGTTCAACTGTTGGGAAGCCAGGCCCATGGACAGAAAGCTTTATCAAGTCCGTCCTCCATGACATGCTACAACTAAGCATTGATAAAGTGGTTGACATGCCAGACGCTGATGCAAAGGAAGCTAAAAAGGCCCTTGCTAATATTCGTACTCAGTTCTCTTTGCAACCATGCTTGAGTGCTCATTTGGATTTTGTGCAGAATGGGTCAACCTTGCTTTGTCAGCTTTTGAAGTTACCTCTGCTTCACGGGTGGGTGATAAATCCGGAAGACAGTAGCTATAATTTTCTCAGAGACTTTTCTCATAGTCAGTTGGTGGATCACTATTCGGAAGGCAAAGGTGACCATGTGGAAGCCTGTAAAAGGTTATTGGATGATTCAAGCAGTCAATTGACTTCCTATGGGTTTCAATCTTTGTCTGAGGAGCTATCTGACGATGGAGCAGCACTTCTTTTTTGCCGCAACAGATTAGATGTTATTCACAAACACAATGGTGCTCTATTTATATATGTAGCTGACCAGGCCATTTGCCAACAAATGCCTCAAGCGGTTTGGATGCTGTTTGAAGAGCGCCAAGAAAAAAACATTTACTTAACTGACCAGTATTCCCCTGTCAAAGGCCAACTGCACGAAGATAAGGCTAGGGAATGGTTTAGGGAATTTCTTGTGAACCAGAGAAAAGGCAACAAACCAAAAGAAGACAAGGGGAAGGAGAAAAATAAGTCATCTCAACAAAGGCAGTCCGATGATGCAGCTCCTGAAAGTTCTGAACCAAGTGAAGCTACTGGAAAACATGGAGAAGATAAGTCTTCAGATAAGATGTCCTCAGATGATAAAAGGGCAGAAGCAGTGGGCTCCCATCACAGTGATGGTGGAGAAGTAGTGGTGTCTCATCAAGACAGCAAGGTGAAGAAGTCACCTCAACAAGCACAGTCTGTTGATGGGGCTGCTGAAAGTTCTGAATCTAGTGCAACCACTGGAATCTTTGATGGGGCTGCTGAAAGTTCTGAATCTAGTGCAACCAATGGAATCTTAACTACTGGAAATGAAGCAGAAGTTAAGTCAGATAAGCCGACACCAGAGGATAATCAAAGAGCAGAAGCAGTGGGCTCTCATCACATGAACATTTCTGTAAGTCAAGATGGTGTGCCTAAGGGTGATGCTTCTGATTTCTTGAACTTTCTCAATGAGTAAGCTTCTGAACTTATTCCAGAAGTATTTGTTTTCTAGATTAGAGTTTTGTTGTTCTAGACTAGGGGTTCTATTCTAACACATTTCATTTTTGTAGGTTTAAAGACAATGGTTGCTCTGCGCATTACTTCGAAGGCACTGTGGCAGCCTTTGCTTCACAGAAGCCATTGTTTTATGTGCCATACGATTTTATCATGGCATTTAATGAACCATTGGCACTGAAGATCCAAGACAACTATTCCGGGTAATAAGCCTGCTGCATCCCTTAAACATACTCCCTGTGTCCAGAATTGTTAGGCAATATCTATTGAGCACCGGTACCAAGGAGCCACTTAAAGTGACTATGTTGCCTATAGTCAAAGTGTTTAGTAGCTGATGTGCATGCTCTCATTAGGAATTCCCGGCAAGGAAGATGAAGCAGCAGCCATAGAAGTATGATGTGGTGACATGGATAGTTAATAGGGGTACTACTGACCAAAACAACAAATGTATGCATGGGGAAGTAAAATATGCCTAAGATTTGAAAATATGGCTAAGAATTCTGGAAGGAAGCAGTATTTGAGTAAATTGCATCATAGAGCTGTATTTTCATGATAGACTTAGCGTTATTGCTTATTTTTGTGATTATTTTTCCTAAATACAGGATTTATGAAGATCTGAGGAAAGCCGTTGTTTTCTATTTATCAAAGAAAGGAGTGCAATCCCCGGATGCTGTATTAAAAATACTTGGTCGTCCTGAGGCTAAAAGGTAGCTTCTTGACTAAAGTGATAAATATGGTGATAAAAATGCTGGCCTGATGGTGTTGATGTTGCACACCTGAACTAGTCATTCTCATTCATCTGTCTGTGTCTTCTTCCTTTGTGTGGCTGGTGGATTCAGTGGCAAGAACACCTGTGTTTCTGATGTCATTCCTTCAGGGGCAAGAACTGATCCAGGGTGATAAGACGATTCTACGTGGAGAGATATAGGAAAGATGTTTCACGGTTCAGTATTGCTGAGAACAATTCTTTTGAGCTTTTTTTCTTTTTCGAGCAAAGCAATTCTTTTGAGCTGTAAATGTACTGTTAGAACTTAATAAATGAGATTAATTTTTTTTGAAGGGTACATGAGAGATTAATGAATATGAAGCTGATGGATTAGGCAAATTACCATGACAATACTAGATAAATAACACTATGTATGTGTACTATTTGAATTGAAGGTTCGAAGGTAAACAGCGTGCTGCTACCGTGACATGTTTGTGACGAGTCACTTTAGTTGCACTGCATTAGTTGAAGTCGCTGAAAAGAGGACGCGAAAGCAATATTCGAGAACAAGTTTATTTTTGCAAGGGTAAATCTGGAGATAAGACCAGAATAAGCCAAACACCAATTCAAACTATGTTTCAATATTAATCAACTACTGAAGTATGTCACAAATAATTGACAGACAATTGACGTTCTGGACAAGACCTGTAAAAAACTCGAACTTTGATTATAGTCAAAACTTTAGAACTTCTTTTGAAAATGAATTATAAACTATAACGTGAAACATAATAAATAAAGTCAAATCTGTCTTGAAAACCACTTCAGGAATTTCTCAAACTTAACATATCCTATAAATATTCTGATAGAAAATGGTGGTCAATGGCAGCTCAAACAGTACAACAAAATGAAAAATTCAAGTATTCTTGACCAGAGATAAGTATACAGAGGGGGCAATAAAACAGAACCAGGTAGACACAAAGTGCACAGAGTATTTGCACAGCACAGCACTGATTTCACTAGTTCACAATCGGTAAAGCAACAAAAGATGTTGATATAATAATTGCTGTTACCGATCCGCTGGTAGCAACACTTAAATAAAGATATAGTATTAAAGAAAACAATGTCATCGTTGGAGCTGGCTGTACATTCCTTCTAGTTCTATGATGGAGTATGGAACTGTCAGGGATTACTCGTGGGGCCCATATGATGGCCCATCCACGAGTAATCCCTGACAAATTGGTCGTCACGTGTGTGTGTGTATGTGTGTTCTCCTACTACAAACAAGTCAGATAAAGAAAAATACACTCCACTTCTGACTAACTAATGTAATTTCAACCGTTTCATAAACTCAGCTTGACGACAGATCAGGGTATCCACATTCTAGATCGGTCGTCAGACACGACCAACCAATCAGTCCATGAAAACAGCAGCTTCTGTGCCATCCTCCCAATCCATCTTACTGCTCAACCGCACATCAATTATACATCAATTATGCATGCTTCGCCAACCCATCCTTCTGTACCCATGCACGAGATGCGATTCAACTACAAGGGCATTACTCGGCCCAGTCCTCGTCACTATCATCATCACCATCTGCGGCATTATCCTGTACCATTTGCAATTACATAGGTAAGTATGCATAGCCTTTGTGCTCAAAATATCAGGTATACATGATGTAGTAAAATGCACAGTTTCTTGTAAGGAAACTCGCTGCTAAAATGCTAAAGGTAACAAATAACACAATGCATATTTAAGTTCAGCTGATGCAAGCTAGCAATAAACCTGGGAGGAACTTGAGAGCTCTTCGATTTCATCTTCTTCCACCTGTAACACAATGAAATGGCCAAAGGTCCTCAATCAAATACACATTTATATAGAGAAAGCAAACAATGACCAACACTTGAAATTCATCTACTAAGGGCAAGCAACATAGAATTCCATAAAATGGTACCTTTGGTTTTTTATTTCCCCGAGTTCCACTAGCTGCATTCAGAAAACACACTGGTCAGTGTCCCCAGCCTATATAAATGAAACTGAAAGCTTATCTTGCAACAACCCTAGAGCTCTTCACTTGTACTAGCACACATCTTCCTAAATGAAACTGATGAGATGCCTTTGGATGCTTACACCAAATGCTAGCACACTAATGCCAGAAGATGTCTACTACAGAAGATGCATGTCACAACAGTGAACCTACCCTTCTTGATCCCTGCTAGCTGTATTGCCATTGGACTTGCTCGCTGTTTCTTAGCAGCAGCACCTAAAGATAAGTGACAATTACAAATTTAATTAAAAAAAGCTTTACAAATTTAATTAAAAAAGCTTCATTTCATAATGAATCGATTGATAAGGAACATAGAGAGGTGATAAAACACAACCTTTGGTTGCAGGGGACCCTTTAGGACTCCTTGTAGATCTCTGGAACAGGAATAAGCATGTGATAATGAGTTAAATTTCTTGACAACAAATGTAAATAGACATGTTTAACACAGAAACATCCTTGTAGAATGTGGTATCGCTTCAGTGCAATCGAGTAAAGTTAAAGCTATGGACATACTGGTTGTCTGTTAGTGATAGATAGAGGGGGAACTATGAATAATTCTAATGTGAATCTTCCCTCCCAAGAATGCATATCTAGGTGGTTTTGCACTCTCACCTTTTTTTCTTCTGCCTTTTTAAACATGCTAGACAAAGTAGCCAGAACAAGAGGCTCCTTGCTAGAAAGGGCCACTGTTGAAGAATCTGCAGGTTTCATGTCTTCGCTTTCAGTCTCATCCTTAATTTCTGGACTCTCCATCTCCTTCACGCATAGCAAGCAAAATAAGCCGCAGTGTGACAAAATTTTGACATTAAAATTTTTGAACCTATATATAGAAAACTAAAATTTCAGATGTACCTTATCATCCAAGTCCTCAGGTACCTCAGCAGTTTCATCATCATTGTCAGACGAATCACCTCCAGAAGATAAGTCTGTGTACCTATAAAGGCAGCAAGGACTTTGTTAATTACTTGACTACACAGGCCAATGAAATGAGTAAACCAATTTACCTACGAAGCTCTCAGCAGCCAAAGAGAGTGCAAGGTTCTAACCTTTTCAGGGTTTTCCCTGCATTCCTAGCAGACTGTCTAACTGGTGTTCCACTCATAGTCTGTGTGTTATTCTCATCCTTATGATCTGAATCCTCAGAACCATCGTCATCAGATGCAAACTTCGGGGAACGAGGTTCTGCGATTTCCTTTCCAGCTTTACTTCCAGTTGCTTCATCGATGGCAGCACCCGCACCACCTCTGAAATCACAGTCTGCTGCTGTGCCATCCTATCAGTTGAAAATGGAGAGGCATATATGATAGGCACATACAGAACTGAAAGCAGAAGACAACAAATGGGCTGGTTTGAAAAGAGCACAAACATTTTGGAATTCTTTTGGAAACTCAAGCTTGAGCTCTTCTGGATTATCTTCCTTTGTTCCAACCCACCATGCTTCAGAAAACACAATCTGCATATCCGATGAGCAGGCAGCATATCTGGTGAGATTTCAGTGGCTTGAAGCGAATTTGGCAGCATAGGAATTGCATTAATTGACAATTATATTATACATGTAAATCTAAGCAGTAAAAAAAAGGAGTTTTGCACAGATGCATTCAGCAATGAAGACGAGCAACTGAACATAGCTGAGAAGTGAAGTAATGCTGAAAACACTGACCAGGCTCTCGAAGACGTCCTCACAGACGACGCCCTTGGCCGACCTGTTCATTTGCAGCGTGAGGTACTTGTTCTTGGGGTAAACGTGCGTCCCGAAGAGCTTCATCCTTCCCTGCAGGTGCAATGCAACCACCACTCATCCTCCTCAGAAAGGGAAAAAGAATCACATGTTTATCACATTCCCAGGTCAGGTCAGGTGGCCTGAATCCCGGAACTGGAAAGGTGGAAGCTTGGCGAGTCCCGACCCGACCCGGTACCTGTGGGAACTCGAGGTACAGCACGGGGTTCTTGGTCCCGAGGTCGGCGAGCTCCCCGACCCGGCCGCCCGAGGCTGCTGGCGCGAGGAGGCCAGGGAAGGAGAAGAGGTAGCGGCTCTTCCGCTGGCCGCCGCGGCGCACGACGTCACGGCCCTGCAGGCGCGTGACGGCAGCCGCCGGCGCGAGCGGCGCCCGCGGCGCCGCCGGGTCGCCTCGCTGGAGCAGGCCGTTGGAGAAGGCGAGCGAGCGGAGGCGGCGGCGCTCGTCGGCCTCGGCGTCTGCGGGCGCGGCGGTGGAGGCCTTCTTGACCATCCCTCCCCCTCCCGTCCTCCGGTGTAGGTTTTTGGGCGGGGTTAGAAGTTTGAGCTGGGGATTGATTGGGGATAGGAGAGTGATGAGATGGTCTAGAGATCGGAGCCGGGGCCGGGCTTTTTCGAATTCGACCATTATGAAAACTGGGCTTCGGTGATTTGTCATTCCGCAACGGGGCTTCGCCAGATTGCCATTACGAAACCCGACACATCCGCCAGAATGCCATCCGAGAGCTTTGCAACCCTTTTCTTCCTCTTCGCCTCGTCTGCTTTCTCTTTCGGTGCCGCCCGGTGCTCAAACAGACAACGGAGGGCGCAGAATGGATCGGCGGCTCTTGCTTCGCGAAAGCACCGAAAGCGAGGCGGGCACCCCCACGGCGAGCAGCCCCCATCCACGGCGAGCCCCCACCACCACATCGAGCACCCACCCCACCCACTCGAGCCCACCCAGTAGCCCCAGCCCAAGGCGCCTCCCTCCTCCGCCCCCCTCCCCACGGGGCCATGGAGTACAAAGACGGCAACGACGCCTCAAGGTCGGCCATGGAGAACAAGCGGTACTCGAGACCTCGGTCAAGGATTTCAAACAATGAACTCCCTCTTGTTCATTAAGTAGTCTCGTAAGTGTCGGTTTCTCAAGGTCTTGGACAATGAAGACGGACAAGAACTACGGCCACGGTTCTACATTTGTCCAACTCGAACGGTGAGAATAGTTAGTCATAAATTTTGTGTGATGTATTTTGTGTGATTTGATGACGAGTTGATTTCATTGGTTTCCCTTTATTTGGCGGCATGTAGAGAGAAGGTGCTTGGTTGTCCATTTTGGGAGTGGGAAGAGGGTATGAGCAATACTTGGTTGACAATAAATTGGTGCCTTCAGATTATCAATCTGCTTCGAGTCTACTAAGTTGCCGCAGCAAGTCCTA